ACAAATCGCTCCAGTTCAAAGTCATCCTGGGAATTGATGAAGGAGCTGATGATTGATGTAGACAAGAGGGATTTGCTTGCTGATAGAGCAGAAAGCCTCCTGCTTTGCCTGAAGCAGCGATTCCCTGGTCTTCCACAGACAACTTTAGATATGAGCAAAATCCAATACAACAAGGTTTTGATTTCTTAGCCCAATGAAACATTTTTATCATCATGAATGTCTGTTAATATCAATTTCATAATCAGTTCACTTGGTTTCTTAGGATGTTGGGAAATCCATTTTGGAGAGCTACTCAAGAGTTCTAGAGAGCTTGGCATTCAATATTGTGGCACGAATTGATGACCTGCTCTACGTGGATGATTTGACAAAACATTCGGATCATTTCTCTTCAATCTCTAAAGTCAGTGTGATTGCTCACAAAAGTGTAACAATCCCATACTCAGTCCCAGCCTCAAACAGTCCATATAAAACAGCTTTCACCACACCAAGCTTTTCACCTGGGCAACGAATAAGCCCTGTAAAGGGAGATCGATCGCCCTTCATGACCAGTGGAAAAATTCCTCAGCATGGTTTAGGCGTGAAAAAGGTCTTGACAGATTATCTCAGTATTGATACAAAAGGCAGGGATGGTGGCATTACAATCGAGGGAACAGACAATGTGATTCGAAACACCCCAGCTTCTCAAAGTGGAATTGAATCTTTCGGGTCTATATTAGAAACAATCAGCACACCCGAGAACAGATTTTCTGATATCTGTTAAAATCAGCTGCTGCTAGCTCTTTTGTGCATGTCTTCTTCTTCTTCTTCTTTTTTTCCCATAGATGGTGTTATTTAAATCTCAGTAGCAACGAGATCTCTATATTGATAATGAGTTGAATGCTTCATTCATGCTGCTCAAGCCTTGTGATGAACTTCTTGTTTGTTGTTGAACTTTCCTTCATTGACCCATCCCCAACTGAGCAGCACATTTACTGGTCCGGAACACGCACTAAAAGAAGGGCAAATTTTAATTGATTTGAAAGTGCAGTTCAGGGGCATTCCGAGAATTGAACTCGGGACCTCTCGCACCCTAAGCGAGAATCATACCACTAGACCAAATGCCCTTTGCAGCTTTCATTGTGAATTAGCTTAATTTTAAAGTGATCTAGTTGATTTTTTTCAAAATTAATGCATACATCCGTGCTTTTAAAAGTTTTAATTTTTTTTTATATTTTTGAGTTATTTTGATAAATTGATGTAAAAATTTAAAAAATATTATTTAAATTTTTTTAAATAATAATTTATACTATAATCTTAATTCTTAATGGGTCCACTTTAAGGTGTGAGATCCTTTAATATTATTTATGGATATAATTTATTAAATGTAAGTCCCATTTTTTCTCATGTTTTTTTTTAAATTATTATTAATGTAATGTTTTGATATTTTAGCAATAGTTATTTTTTAAAATATTTTTTTATTTAGAAATGCAATAAGATAATATATTTATATATTTTTTAAATTTATTTTTAATATCAGCATATTAAATAAATTTAAAATTAAAAAATTAATTTAAAGAAAAAAATTATTTTTTTTTAAAGCACAGCATGATTGTAAAGAGTAGGGAAACTCAATATTCTGAGCACTTCACCCTTTAACCTTTTTAAACGCTTAAAACTTCACCCCCTTTGCCAAACATGAACTTAACATTTCTCCATTTTTTTAACCTCCTAACAAGTGCAACCTAAGGTCTAATATTGTTTTTTTTTCCCTTTTAAACATTATGTATCAACTTGTATATTGTAATTACAATTCAGTTTCCTCACTGGACATTGAATTCATGGGGTTGCATGATTTTTTTAAGGCATGATAATTACTCTTTTCTACACAATAGAGTTACTTATAACTGACAATAGCATCTATTTGAAATATTTACCAATAAATGATTTATATGAATTAATATTCTTTTACGGTGTTTCTCTATTAATAATCTGGTTTATATTTTAATAAAAATATAAAAAATAATGTATGCACAATACATCATCAAGTACATTTTTAAGTAGCAGGAAGCCTTTGGTGCATGGCTTCTTGGATGTCCAACCTAAATCATTATGATTGATGAGGACGTGATACTTGTATTTGGTTAAATCTTTAAAATAGAAACCTAGCAATTTTGTCTAATTATATTTGATTCAACAGTGGAAAGATTAACGAGACAAACGAGCAGGTTTACTATTTTGCTATTAAATAGTATCTAATTTGACAATACACGCGCGCGCGTATTATCCTTTTTTTAAAATTAACATGTTGAAATCAATAATAAATTTAATTTATAAGATTATATTTATCAAGTTAAAAAACATATCTTTTAACAAATTAAATAACAAACATATCGTGTTGAATTGGTTATCTAAAGAAAATACACATGTACACGTGCACTCATTATCTAAACTATTTCTTTTATTATTGAGAAAAACAAGGTTATATATTTGTGTTTATACCAAAATAAATATTCATATATGTGTCGACTTGATAAAAATAATTGTTGTTTATATAAAAAATAAATATTTACATCTTAGCCAAATAAAAATAATAATTATTTATATTTAAATATAAAAATAAAAATTATAATCTATTGTAAACATTGGAACCAACCAAGCTTAATCGATCAAGAAAATTAGATTATAATAAACTAGATAACTAAAAGTCATGATCAACCAAAAAAAAATAATTAATCATATAACTTTGTGTTCATGCCAATGACAAGAAGGTTTATTTCTACTTAGAGAGGGAACGTAAAATTAAACTAACAAAGTTATTTAGCTTAATTAGGACTTCATAGGATTATCAACAAAGGAGAAGTTTGGTTTACATTAGAATTTTGTACAATATCATAAAATTTTCATAATGAACTAAGAAAAAGTGATCAATCATATGAGTATGTGTCCATGCAAATAACTAGAAGGGTTATTCCTGCTCACAATGGGAATGCCAAATTAAACTAACAATTTTTGAAGAAAATTGATAAAGATGTAAAGATATTATTAAAAGTAGATTGAATAAGTTTAGTTCACATTATGAATTAATAAATTTTTTCATTAATATTTTATGTAAGTTTCATGTAAATAATGAATGATCATTCTAAGATGTATTGAGTTACACCTAAAGGGTTGTACATAATGGATTATTGTAATGGAGTTAAAAGTTTTATTAATTATATACTATATAATCTAAAAAAAATATTTAGTAGAGACAACATTAGACGTTCATATAAGAGGTGTAAATTCAATCCAGACGTTGTTATAATACTTTTTCTACAAAAGAATTTATGAATAAATACTTGTGTTAGTTTACGCATAAGGAACTATATGTTTCTTATGAGATCATTGTAGAAATAATGGTTGAATCAATTTTTAGTTCTGGTTCAAGTTCTAGCAATATGCATAAAGCTCTAGATGATAATAGTAAAAGTTATAAGAGTATGATTATAAATGCAAGAGAAATGACTCAAGGTGTTGGAGATGGATGTTTAATCATTGATGAATAACTAAATGCAAATGTAATGAATGTTTTTTTTTTAATTTTTTTAAATTTTTTGATGAATCATTATAGGATGGGTGCGCAAATCACTATAAATTATCGATTGTTGCATGTGTTCACCATCAAATCAGATCATAGGCAAAGTGAGATCAGTTAAAGACTTATCGAATAGGCAAGAAGTATTTTACCTAGAGGAAATAGGTTGAAAAAAGGAAATTATATACTGCTAAATGCAGGATGAAATCCCTTAGTCTCGGGTATTAGAAAATTAACACATGTGTCCAAACTTATGCATATTGTACTACTTAGAAAATACAAATTTGACATAGTACAAAACTTGTGGGCATTCTTTGTATAAGCCTATAACTAGCAGGGGAAATACTTTTGTTACATATAGAAAACTAAGATACTTTCAAATCACTCCTAAACTATAAATATTATTCATGTCTTTAAAAACCACTATGAATAGATATAGCACCATTCACTTGATATGGTGGATGCAGTTATGGTGTATCTTTTTTATGGTGAAGTTTGGAAGCTGTTTAATAGGGTGAATTTTTAGTATTCAATGGAACCCAGAAACACATATGTTAAGTTATATATAGACATATTCAATCTATTTAGATATTTCAAGTTAGGAAGACAAGGTAATGTGAAGGGAATTTAGACCTTTGCACATGTCAGAACTTATCTAAAAAACTTATATCTAGCATGTGATATCTAAGCATTTTGTATAGTAGTCGTAGTCTAGTGTGAGGAACCAAAACTTGGAGATTCATGGTTGAATTACCATACACACCAATAGATTCATTTTGTCTGTTTTGCATGCGCAGCGGATAGTAATATTATGTTTTATCACATATATTT